TTTTCCGAGGTCGAGCAGGCGCAGCTCACAGAGCAGGCTGTCTACCCCGCTGCGGCGACCTACCTGACCCAGCTGCGCTCCCCGCGCTGGCTCGCGTACCCCGTCCGCGCCACCGGCTCCAACAAGCTTTGGGAGGTGACGGTGCCCGTCGACGCATTGCCGAAGGGGACAGAGCTCGACGCGCGCGGGAACGTGCTCTACGTGCCTACCGCGACCAATGCGGACCGGTCCGCGTGCGGCGTCGGCGGCGGGGTCGGGGGCGGAGGCCTCGAGGGCGACGATGCGATGCTGGGCATGCTCGGCGGCGACTTTGTGCGCCAGCTTGGGGGCGGGGGCGACGGGCTCGGCGAGAGCGAGAAGCGGAAGAAGAAGCTGCACAAGGCGCTGCGACAAATCGAGGAGCTCAAGGCGAAGAAGGCGCAGGGCTTGGCGCTCGAGAAGACGCAGGCAGTAGTAGTAGCAGCAGCAGCAGCAGCAGCACCACCACCAGCAGCACCAGCAGCAGCAGCAGTAGGGCTTGGCGCTCGAGAAGACGCAGGCGAGCGCCCTTCTGAGCCCGCTCGGCGCCGCAACCGGGGGGAGGGGGGGGGGGGGTTACGGGGGAGGGCTTCGGGGAGGGCTAGGGCGGCGCCACGCGCCCCTCGCTGCCACACACACGCCCTCGCTGCCCCGCAGCCCCCCCCCACCCGGACGGGGCAGTGCTTCGGCGGTCACCGGACGCTCTCTCTCGGCCGACACAGGAGTCCAAGATCGAGCGCGAGGAGGAGCTGCTCGAGCAGCTGGCCGCACTCGAGGCGGAGGCGCAGGGGGGGTCGCCGCAGGAGGAGGCCGCCGGCCTCGCGCCGCCCGGCATGCTCGCCCAGGACCCGCTCGGCTTGCCTCCGATGCCGGCGACGGGCATGCCCGCCGACGGCCTCCTCCATGCCGGAGGCATGCCGCCGATGCCGTCCGACATGGTGGCGGGTCTGTGAGCTGGCGGCGGAGAGCTGGCGGCGGAGAGGCGCGCGTGGGAGAGCGCCGCACTCCGACTCGCGCGGCGGGAACGCAAAAGGGGAGGGAGGGGGAGGAGAGGGGCACGCGCGGGCCACGCGCACACTATCGAGCGAGGGAGCGAGACACACCGCCGCGGTGGCAATTAAAAGTATGAGAAACTACGCTATATTTAAGCACAGACTACTCAAGGACAAGGTTCGAAAGCTCCCCCCTGAGGAGCTGAGCCCTCGCTGTGGCCTGCGTGAGATGGTCTCTGCACTCACTTCACACTTGAAACTCACTCATTCACGATTCAGCCGGTCCGACCTCCGACTGCCCGTCGTCGGAGCTCTGCGAAAATAGCCTCTCCAGGGCCCGCCTCGACTCATCTACACTCGGGTCCTCCTCGCCCAGCGCCGCACCCTCCTCGCTCGCACCCGGGGACCACGCAAACGTTCCTACGTTTGCCTCGGGTGGCAGCACAACCTGCCCGCTGCGGACGAGGCCGAGGGAGAAGCCTCCCTCGTCGCAAAATTCGAGGAGCGTCGAAGTGTCCATCGCCACCCGCGTCGCCTCCGGGAAGTCCTGCGCCGCGAGCAGTGTTGCATACCGCTCGGCACCCTCCTCGTCCTCAAAGCAGAGAACTAGCTCGGAGCTGCCGCTGCTGCGGCTGTAGATGCCCTCGTTATCGCTGCGCGGGTTGAATATGAGCGCCCACACACGACGCACGCTCTCCACCTCTGCACGATCGGTCGTGATTGCCGGCCCGCGCTCGGGAAGCTCAGGCAGCTCGCCGCAGGCGCGAATCGCCGCCCGCGTATCGCCGCAGGCGCGAATCGCTGCAGGCTGACAGAGGCCAGTACGGGAGATGGCGATGGCGAGAGGGAGTGCAAGGAGCATACTACAGGTGAGGGCCAGTGAGGGCGAGCCCATCGCTGTCACAGCTGTCAGCCGCTGCTTGGTGTCTGCGCGGACCCTGGGACGCCGGACCGCGGAGCGCTCGCTTGATAAGCTGTGGTCCGCTGTTTTCACGGTGCTCAGCACGCCCCTCGGTTAAGCTGCGGTGCAAAACTCTGTTTACCACCTTCAAGCACACCCCCAAGACTCCCCAAAACCGCCCAGGATGAGCTCCTGAGGTGCCAGTCCGCCCGAGATATCTCTTAAGTGTGAGACGCAGTTGTTTTGTTTAAACTCTTAAGTGGCGGCCAGAAGATCCGCCCTGGGATCTTCGGCGCAGGGCGCCGTCACCGGCCCCATGAGCCCCCTACGAGGCCATTCAGTGCTCATGTGGCACGACCTGAGCAGGCCTAGCAATGCCTCGGGCCGAGCGGCGCCCAGAATTGTTGGTGCTGGCCAGCAACGTGGCCGGCGAGTGCCGTCGTTGCATTGGTGGCGACCACCGCTGAAGCGGTCAGCAGGTGGGAAGGCATCGCTCTCTTTGTGAGGGTATTGTACGTATTCATTGTCTGGTCAATACTTCTGCCTGGGTGGCACCTGTGTGCCCAACATGGCGACCCGTGGCCTCCCTCGTGAGTCCACCTCGCGCTGATCATTCTCGTCGCTAGCTCAAGCCGAAAAAGTGGTCCACCGACACCAGGAGGAGTACAACCATCATGGCCGCAGCCTCAGACTGACCGGGTTAGGTCATCTTACCGGCTTGGTGGCCCAGAAGCGCGACATTTGCTGCCCGCAGAGCGCTAGCAGCCCACTAGCCGGCACGTCTGTGCGTCGTGCGGGGCTGAACTTCAGGCACTCTGCACGCGGCTTGTCGTCTAGAATAGCTCAACCCCGGCCAGTGAGTGATGGATCTGATCATAATCAATCCCTACTGTGCTGGGGGGCTCTCAGATCAGCCGTTCAGAGCTCTGACATTGGTTCCCGGCAGAAGATCCTCCAGAGGATCTTCTGCCGTCAGCCGAAAACCCGTTTTCAAACGAGACACAATGACCCAACAATGGCCCCCACGGCCCGCCCGGACATGCAGCCGACCCGGCTAGGCCAGCTGGGCCATCGGGGCGGCCACCAGCGGCCGTAGGACCGCGCTGCGGTGCCGAAAGGGGCTGGAAGATCCGCCCTGGGATCTTCGCCACCTAAGAGATGACCGGTTGAAGTTGGGGTTCCACGGTCAGGATAGAGGTGTCGAACTGGATGGGGGTCAGCCGGGGAGGCTGTTGTGGCGCACCGGACCGCCCCCCAGCACCGTGGCCCACCCAACTGTATCCATGGGAGTCACAAACGGTGCTGCACTCGCGGCTGCAAGCACTCACGACACTCAAACCCACCACCTGCCTCCTACCCTGTACGAGGAGCCATTTCACCCGTGCAACATCTGCACAGGTGTACCGCCGACGCTCCAGCGCCCGGCCCCTACTAGAGTAGTCTTGTGGGACCCACAAACGACCAATACATCCACTCGGGGCTGCAGCATGTGTCCGGGGGGGCATCCCCGTGAAGCAGCCAGCAGGTGCCGGACATGGCGTTGGCCGTCTTGGACCGAGATCAGGGCGCAACTGCCTGTCTCATGGGGCTGAAGGACCGTCATGGGGTCGGCTTTGATGCTGCCAATCAGTCGGGTCGATAGGTGGCGCCCCAGCGAGATGCGTTGCGGGTGCTCGGCGTCGCCTGCTTGAGTGGCCTAAACGCACTCGCGGGAGCCAGAGAGCAAAGGTGTGCGCGAATTGAGGCTTCTGAGCAAGCCCAGGCAAGCCACAGGACCGGCCATGTGCGTGGGTAGTCGAGCGGTGGCCGGAGGCAGCCTCCAGGAGTGGCTCTCAGTTCGACACCTCGGTCTCGACCACGCCCAGACTGGGAGCGGACCACAGCTTATTTCTTGTACTCGAGTATCGTAGTTGGCCCCGCCCTCGACGAGCGCGTCAGAGTACTCACGCCGGACAAAAAGCGGGGACACAGCGGGGGGGGCAATGCGGGGTGGTACGGCTGCGGGGGGCCGCAGGCGGGGGATCAGAGTCCGCTCCCTTTAAGAATTAAACTCTCTGATCGCACACAGGTCGCAACGAGAAGAAAGCTCCTTTAGGCATTCGTGGCATCCTATGGCGTATGGGTCTTCCAGAGTATCGACCTCTGGCGAGTCAGCCAGCCCCACTTTGAGGGCGCCATGAAGTACAGCGATCGCCACCTCGCTGGCCTCTCCGCAAGGCCTCCCGACCGCGTCGAACTCATGGGACATGGCGCGGGGGCTCTCTCGGCTACGGGACCGGCCCCAGCTTCGGCTGAGGGCTGACAAGCTGCCGAGCCCAAATCACTGTGCGAGTCGTGATTTCTTCTCTGGGCCGGCGCGGGGGCCCCAGAGGGTGTCCATGCGGGGGGGAGATGGGGTCCCATGGCCCGCCGCAGGCGCCGATTTTTTTGGATTGTTTTTCTTTTTTGGAGTTTTTTACTTGTTTTCATGGGAATTCGGCGTACTTGCGGCCATGCTATCACGCCTTGCGACAGCCTGTCGGCGCAGCTGACCGTGCCATGATGCACAATTGATCACCTGCATAGCTCGCGGCCTTAGTATCAAGCATTCAGTGACGACCTGATCGTACGGCCAGTAGGAAGGTGTCCTTCCATCGTGTGCACGCTTCTGGCGCAATGCGCGTCACCTCGGATTGGCTGCTGGCACTCTCGAGGCTATGCCTACACAGCCTCGCGCGCATGGGCAGTCAAGAGGGACCACGCACCTTCTCAGGACAGCGCCGGTGCCTCTCTCTTGGACCGGCAAACGTGGTGGTATCGTGTCACCAATGTGGGACCAGTGCGGCATCGCGCCATCGACAGCTCTGAACTGGCCAGCACAGGTCGCACATTGTGGCAGCAGTCAGCAGTGCATGGCTGATAGCTAGAGCAGCAGCGTCAGGGTCGCAGGGTCGGATCGTGTCAAGCCTCTCGCCCGGCCGGCCGCGTGCAGACGTCGGCCTGTCTGCTGTCTGGAGTGATCTGTCGGCGGTCAGTACGACCGATCAGGTCGGAGATTTCTGATGGTTGGAGGGTCTATCTGTATGTACTCCTCGAGATCTTTCCAAATCTGCCCTCTACTTAACCGTACTTAATCGGGAAGTTGGTGCTAGTGGAGACTAGTGGAGCCGGGGCCCCGTTTTCGCACTGCGGCGCGGCGCACGGTGCCTCCGGGGGGCCCCGCGCCGGCCCAGAGGATTTCTTGTTGGTTTTCTAAAAATCTCTCTCTCAGGTCGGCAGGTCGCGGCTCAAAAGACGAAGAATTTTACAATAAATAAATAAATAAAAAACGGACACCTCTCTACTGTGAGATGGGTGTAAAAAGGAACAGGCCAAGAATTTTACAACGAAGAAACCCGTCGCTCATATTACTTCCAGCCGCCGGTCCGCGTACCCGAAGCGCGCCTTGTGGTCATCGAAGAGCCGCGTCAGTGCCTCGACGTACAGCGCGTGGTACGCCGTCACCTGCTCGGCGGTCGGCTCGGCGATGCGCGGCAGTTGCAGCGGCGCGCCGACGACGGTGTGGACGGCGACGTCGGCACGCGGGAGGAGCGGGCACCACCACGCTCCGTAGAAGAGGGGCACCACGAAGCCGCACCTGCGCGCGCACTCATGGCTGTAAAGACGGCGCCGGGGTGTGAAGAGCCGCATGGCGACGGCCGAACCTGCGCAGCAGCCACATGCGCAGCCTTTTCCCGGCGCCGACGGAGCGGTAGAGGTCGCACTCGCCAAAGGTGTACGCGAGAAGGAGGAGGTAGCCTACTACTCGCCGCTAAGTCCTGGCGCCGTGCGGGGGCGCGCGACATGGAGCGCCGAAGCGGTGGCATGGGGCGTGGAAGTGGGCCGTGGCGCTCGCTCGCCGGCAAGGCGAAGCGGCACCTGTGTCCCGACCCCGCTAGTTTGGCAGATTTCGCTTCTAGTCCGCTCGTCGCCGTGCTGCAGCGCGTACTTGATGAAGCCCTTCCTCCTCTTGAGGTAGACGCGCTCGCGACCAAACTCGAACAGGGCGACCTCCTCCATCCCGCCCGGCAGGATGCCAAAGTCGGAGCGCTGCCGGAACAAGCCAAACATGCCCTGCGCGCCGTCCGCAGGGGAGGCACCGACGAGGTCACCCGCTGCGGCGCGTCGCGTGAGAGGCCTCGGGAGCGGTGGGCGGCGGTGCGGCGGCGGCGCGGCGGCGGCGCGGGGGCGAGGGCGGGCGGCGGTGGCAGGGCTCGATGCGCCTCCTTGGTGGCGGGCGTGCAGCAGCCGAAGAGGAGCATCATCGGCCGCACGAGCGGCAGCCGAAAGAGGAGCGGCGCCTGGAGGAGGGTTCCGAGAGGGTTCCGAGAGGGCTCCGAGAGGGCCCGGGGACTCTTCCAGGCACGAGGGGCGGCAGGGAAGAGGAGCGGCGCCTGGACGCCAGAGATGCGCGCGAGGCGCTCGTCGGAGAGGAGCGAGGTCACCTCGGCCGGCAGGTACAGGTCCGGCCGCTTGGCCTACACCGCAGGGCCGGACGTGTGCGCCGCCTCACTGCCAACCGTTCCGCGCCGCCGTGCCGTCGAAGAATCGCCTTGAATCGGACGGCGCCGTTGAGCGTGAAGCCGAAGCCGACGGACGTGCCATGGGGGTGCATGCACCTGCGGAAGGAGGAGGTGTGATGGCCTCCGCACAGAGAGAGAGGGGTCGGCGGCCAGCGCGAGGCTCGTAACACCACATGCTGCCGTCGTCGGCTTGCATCACGTCCATCACGCGCCTGGAGGAAGGTTGAGAGACGGTTCCGAGAAGATTCCGAGGTGAGTCCAGCGTTACAAGGCCACACGCGCCGCTCGACCCAAAAGGAAACGCCGTGGCGCAGGAAGCCGGCCGCTTGGAGGTAGAGCCGAGCCGCCAGCGCGCTCTCGCGCACAGGCAGCAGGGCGGAGGCAAGAATTACGGCGGCCAGCGCCGCGGCGAGGTGCAGCCTCCCGGACCAAAGGGCGTGAAGAAGCGCGAGAGGAAGGGACGGGCCGACGAGGAGGATCGAGAGCACGCAGATGATTGCGATAGCGCCACGGACCCGGCTTGAGCCACGAAGCGTGTGACCGATGAGGTCCGTGCTGCCCCCAACCACGGCCGCCGAACGCGCCGCTGGAGAGAGAGAGCTGCTGGTGCCAGCCGGAAGCTCGTCGATCTCTATCGTGCGCAGCCGGCGCACTGGACGCGATACGGGAGGCATATCAGCTCAGCTTGGCTAGCGGACGAAGGGGTCGAGCGCCGAGGGGTGCGTGTATGTGGGTCACACTACTCTGCAAGGGGCCCCTCCCTCCTCTCGCCCGCCTTCATAGCGCGAGAGGGTCTCGAAGAAGAGGAGGTAGTTGAATTGAGAAATGCGCTCCTCTTGCGAGACAAACAAATCGGCCACGAGGCCTGGGCGGCCGCCGCGCTCGGCGGCGGCCGCGCCTGACATGCGTGGTGAGGGGGGAGGTGCTGCTCCCTACCCTAATTTTTCACCGATAGGTTGGTCGGGGCACCGTTCCGCCCCGGAGGGCGCGAGGGCGGATCCTTCGCGAGGTTTGGCAGCCCCAGACCCTAGACGCTAAGAGTTTCTTTGGTAGCCCCTCTGGCGGCTTGGCGCCCGACTCTCGAGTACTAGATACGGCGAGCGACGGGTGGTCACCAGAATCGCCCGCCGGCGTCTTCTTATATGCATCGTCGCACCATCTGCACTTCGAGCAGGGCGCTCGAGTACACGGTCAGCCACCTCGTAATGCACAATCCGCCAGCAATGCGCGCTCCGGCGATGCCCAGCGGTGCCACACTTCTGTGCTCCAATGCACCGAGCATCCCGCCCTGGTACTTCCGTGCGCTCTATCGAGAGGTGGGTCGGGCTCACGAATGGACGGACTGGTTGCGCCGCTCGGACGCGGAGCTCGAGTCTTTTGTCACTGCTCCGGGCACGATCCTGACTACGCTCCTGCTCGATGGCGCCCCGCGTGGCTTTTATATGCTGCGATGCGAGCAGGCGAGTGCCGAGCTTCTCTATTTTGGATTGACGCCCGATGCCCTTGGGCGGCAGCTGGGCGGCCCGCTCCTCCGGCATGCCGTGCAAGCCGCGTGGGAGGAGCCGAGGCTGCAAGCGCTGCACGTGAACACAAACACGCTCGATCATCCGAACGCGCTTCCTCTCTACAAGAGCGTGGGATTCAAGGTGGAGCGGGTGGAAAGGTGCTGGCGTGACCCGCAGAGCGAGTCTGAAAAGTAAGCAGCGAGTGACACTCGGGGCATGCCGCATATCTCCGATCCGGTGGATCGTCGCCCGGCGCTCCCGCTTCCCCCTATCCCGGGGATGGCATCCGCGCGAGAGGCCGCCGCGAGTGGCGGTCTGGCGGATAGACATAGCGAGCCGGTGCGTGCTGTGTCAGCTGATGGGGAAAAAGAAACGAGGAAAGAAGCGCGGGGTTCGAGAGACGCACTCGCAATCAAACCCTCGACTCAACAGCACGCGCAAGACGCCCGGATGGCGCGCAAGAGGTCCGGCACTCCGGTGTACCTGTCGACCGCCCCGCCCCAGCTGACATTGTGCCCGTCGTCGACGCAGGCCTGCACCACGAGCGCGTACCGCACCGCGCCGCCCTCGCCGCGCCCGCCCTCGAGCTCCGCCTCCACCGTCGCCGCAGGGTCGAGCCCGAGCAGCAGCCGCGAGAGCTCCTCGAGCTTGCCGCGCGCGAGGCGCTCGTCCTCGGCGGCGGCGGCGGCGCGCCGCGCGCGGAGCTGCTCGAGCGCCTCGCCTCGCCGCTCGAGCAGGCCGGCCCACGCCTCGTAGTCCCGCGCCGGCCACCCCGCGGCAGCGGGCAGAGGCGTGCCGTCGCCGAGCGCTCCGCCGGGCTGCGGGCAGGGAGGCGCAGCGTCGGCGCGGTCGAGCTCGAGCTCGATTGCGCCCGACTCGGCCTCGTACGCGCACCGCGCCAGCTGCTCGACGTGGCCACGAGGCAGCAGCACCCGGACCGGGCAGGCGCGCCGCAAGTCGAGAGCGAGCACCGCCCGGCGGGCTGCCCGCGCGTCCTCGGCCCAGAGCAGGACGATGCGTGGGCTGCTGCCGCCGTCGGCCGCGTCGTCGCTGCGGCAGGGAGAGCGCCACGCGACCCAGCGCGGCTCTGAAGCACAGCGAGAGCTCTCGGAGAGCTGCATCGCGGCGTGCTCGGCGAGCCACTCGCCCTGCAGCAGCCCGCGCTCGGCTAGGAGGCTGCTCAGGCGGTCCAGCTTGCGCTCGTGGAGGAAGCGGCGCAGCCGAGGCGAGGAGGTGGCTACGTGCACCTTCGACATGGCGCCAAGAGCGATAGCGTGGCGAGACCGCCTAAGGGCTGCTACGAGGGCGTCCGTTCACGTCCGTTCACAGCCTTGTTTTGAGAAGAAAATACTTCGAAGGAGCTGGATCGAGGTGCACGCTGCAGGAGCAGTGTCGTCCCCCCTCTCCCCGACGGCGGTGGCGGTGTGACCGATCGAGCTACAAGAGGAACTTGTTCAGCAGGATCCGGAGTGGCCAGATGCACTACCTCACTGGGCCTGAGACCATCCACGACGCATCCATTATCGTCTCGGATTTGAGAGAGAGAGAGAGAGATTTTTGAAGACCAACAAGAAATCACGACTATCACAGACACAGTGATTTGGGCTCGGCAGCTTGTTAGCCCTCAGCCGAAGCTGGGGCCGGTCCCGGGTGGGGAAGGTCTCTCCGCATATGCAGGCGTAATCCAGCTCACCAGGAAGCCTCCGAACCCCGGCCCACCCATCGGCTACGGGGCCTTCCAGCCCCGCCACCGCGTCCGTATAGTGATCCCCGAGGACGGTTCCGGCCCTTCCGAGCGTACACTGGCCACCGTTGACGCACGGGCAGACGGTCGGCGCCCTCGGGCAGTCTATCTCGAGGCTGGTCGCCCCCTCCCCCTCCCCGAGTGTCTGTAGGTGTCTCGCCACCGCAAACGCCGCCGCCGATAGGAGGGTAGAGACAGCGTCTTCCGTCCGCGGCGCCGGGGCCTCCGTCGTTCTCCTCGTCACCCTCTCCCGGCCCATCGCTGCTCCGGCGCCGCGAGCCTGCTCGTGGGGTCGCTCTCGCGCCACGGACATGGTCGCCTCGAGTATCTCATCGACCGACGTCCCCGCCCATTTCCGCAACCGCGCCCCAACCGCCCGTCGCTTACGGGGTTGCATCGTCGCGAGCTGTCGAGCCACCCGAATGGTCTTCCGCACTACAAACTCGAGGGGGTCCCGCCATTCTTCCGGGGGCATCGAGATGTCGACCTCTCTCCCATCGACACACACCTCCCTCGCTCCGGGCCCCCCCTTCGCCGGGATAGCCATCACACCGTTCTCAAGGTCCAGGCAGGTGGTCCAGCCGCTGGCGCTTCGGGTGACAAGCCGGTCAACCCTCCCCGGGCGGCCTGGTTGCAGGTCCTGCTCTCCGCGGCATGTCACGCCACAGAAGCCCGCCCCCCATCCCGGCTCGTTGTGCGGGGTGTCTCGACCCACGTATTGGATGTGGGCCCTGGTCAGGCCCGAGCCCGGGCGTGGGGTCGCCCACACCAGTACCCAGTCCGCCTTGAAGCCGCCCTTATCGTCGAGGAAATAGACCCAGACCGGTCCGCCTATCTTTTCGGGTGCCGCCACGTTCAGCTCGTCGAGGTCCGTGGCCCGCATCGACGCCAAGTCCTTGGTTCTCGATTCCGGCGAGCCTCTCCGGTCCGTCGAGGTCGTCGGCCTGTGGTGCCTCCTCCCGCGCATATGCCATCAGTTTGTCGAGCGTCGCGTGTCGGTCGTGCTCAGCCGCGAAGTTGCGCACGATTCGCCATCCCACCCCGTCTTCCACCCAGCAGGTAGGATCTGTTGCACCCCTCGGAGACGCCGTGTCCATGGTAATCGGGAGGGCCTCTGCGGGCTGCGGGGGGCTCGGTGGCGGCGAGGCGGCCTCTGCCGGCGGGCCTCCCCGCGCCGGCGAGTCGGCCATAAAGACGGCGCCTGTCGGAGAGCCCACCAGCACCGGCAGGCCGACATTCTCGTACTTGTTGGAGCCTGGTTGCTCAGCGTCCGCCGGGATGACAGCTGCGCCCCCCGTTCCTCTCCAGCGCAGGCGCGCCAGCCGCTCCGTACCTGCCTTGATGAGCCAGCTCAGCAGGGTCAGCAGCAGTACCGCCGCCCCCACCCATCCCCATGCAGCCGAAGAGGGCGGGCGCGGTTCCTCTCCGTTGGTACCTTCGGCCGACACTCCTCGTACCAGGCCTAGCCAGCATGCGGCTCTGCCCGCCGCCAGGCCGTGCGATGTCCCGCCTGTGGCTGCCCACAGCATGGGCGCCCAGCCCCACCACGGTACTGCTTCTGTCCACCGTGAGGTCCACAGGAAGGGCGACAGTGGGTGGAGCTGAGATGGTAGCGCTGGCGGGGGCGGTTGCGGAAATGGCAGCGGAGACGAGGGCGGCGACGGCAGCAGCGGCGGTGGAGAGGGAGGCGGAAACAAGGGTGGAGGGCTCGGTATCGGGGTCGATGGCGATGGCGGCGACGGTGGCGGTGGGGGAGGAGGCGGGGGCAAGGGTGGGGGGGTTGGCAACAGTGGCGAAGGAGGAGGCGGGGATGGCGGTGGCGGTGAGGGCGGCGGTGGCGAGGGTGGCGTCTGTAGGGCCGGCGGCGGCGAGGGAGGGGGCGGAGATGGCAGCGGCGGTGGGTGCGGTGG